GAGGTCAGGCACTGATGTTGGATGATTAGTTCTGGATCACAAATGCCAAATCATCCAAAAGCTATTGGATGGAGCTCCATCACTCCAGAGTACACAGTTCTACTGCTCCACAGCCCAATGCTAGAGGACTTTATTCCCCTCTAGCCAACGTTTGGCATTAAGCATGGCAACCTTAGACTCGTGTGTCCCATTCTATGGGCAAATGTACTGCAAAGGTCCTAACTCCTGTGGTCAACCTGTTTCTCCTGATTTTACTCTCCTAAGGGTGAAAGGCGGTAGACTTAACCCTAGATAAGCAGAGGAGCTAATTCTGGAAAAGTCAGTCAGTTGATTTCTACAAGGAGGCTTAACAACACTAACATTAGTACAATGGAGAGACAGATTACTACACAAGACGGATTGTATGAGTGACATTTGGGCTGGAACAACGGTGGCCATTGTTCAGCTTCTGGAAGCTCAGTCCCTTCCTCATCCACGGTGTTCAATTACCTTCGCACCAGGTGGTCCCCATAAGGCGATGTAAAAAGCTAAAGGCAGCATGAGAAAAAAATCCATATTGCATTTATTAAAAGACTATGAATAAAGTTCTTTAACGCGTGTTGTCATAAGGCTCAGCAGAGAGCAGCTGAGAAGTGAGGGTTCACCAAGAGGCCGAGTGCACAGACCGCCTTTACGCTGCAGTCTAGAACTAACTTCCCCTTTCAAATCTCCACCTGCCAGGATGACCAGAGAAAAAACAAAGCTGATCCAAGATCAGAGGCGCAGACTCTTTTTGCCACTAAAGAGAACCTCTGTAGTTGTGCTTTAGGAACTCAGTTAGGAAAGGACGTCTTGTTCATACCTTGAAGAGTTTACGTACAGGATGTACGTAACTAACTGAAATCAATGCAGAATGACAGTTCTATGACAAAAATACAGTAGACTGTCTAGTGTAGACAGAGCTACACCATAATATCATCACAATGACAGTAACATGATGTAAGTTTGACCTTCTAAGGGTAATAATATTCATTTGTCCTGCTAATCAAAAGAAAATCATTCCTTCTTTTCATTTTTTTTCATGAAGTAAGAAGAAAAAATACCTGCAAAAGTTTGTTAACATAAAACAACTATTTGCTACTTTTTTGAGTATTACTTTATACTTGCCAAATGTATTACTGTACTTTGCAGCACTCAGCTTCATGTTCACCAAAGTGTCTTCCTTGGTAAGAAGAGCAGGATTTGTCTAATTATTTAACATCTTCCTTTTTAACCTATTGATAAAAGCACATATAGAACTTAGTTTGGCCTAAAGGTGGTTTAAACACCTCAAAGATTTGAGTTCTGATATCATAAGTTTATGCTTATTCCCAAAGCGCTTTTGCCTGTGGTTCCTTCAACGAAGAAAAATATCAAGATCTACACAGCTTTCTGCTTAATATGTGAAAACTATTCAACCCTTTCAGATCCAAGGCATACTCCATCCTAGACTTATCATTCAGAAACTACAGTACTGTGCGGAAGTCAGATACCACCATTTATTTACTTAATTTCTAATCAAAACAACATCAAGTAGGAGTTATTCACTTTTCATGAGATATTCCTGATGAGATTAAATATAAAATAATCCACTTCCATAAAAAGGGGAATGTTCAAAAAAATCAATAAAAGATTTAGAGAAATTGAGACTCTTAAGGACCGGGCACGCCTGATAGACCACCAAAACTGTCACCATCAGATAAACAGTTCTTAAGCTTTCAACTTTGAGAGATAAGAGAAAATCAAGCTCCACTCTTGCTCCAAAATCAGCAGATACTTCTGTCTATCCTTCCACTGTGAGAAAACAACCCAACACTATGAGTCTGAAAGGATGTGTAGCTGTTACTGAGAAAAGAAAATGGAATCAAAGAAATCAAAAAATCAAAAAGCTGCTGGTGTTCTTAGAACAATGGACTGACCACCCTAGAGTCCAGACCTCAAAATCACTGAATGTGTTTGGGGTTACCATGAGAAGCAGAAAACACAACCAACTCCTAAGACTGAACAATTTAATCACAGTACTAGTTTGTCCACATTGTGCAGCCACAACAGAGAAAAAAAGAAGGACAATGTAAGCGATCAAAATGTAGTGTCAGTGAAAAAGATGGACACTTTGTCCTGAAGGGAAATGAAAGCAGATGTGTTAGTCCAACACAAAAATCATCACTGTGTACACTGCAATCCTGTCCTCTTCTCCTCTTACAAGCATGTCTCTCTCCCACTCTCTATTTAGTCTCAGCTTCATCTCACTTTTTGTCTTTCTCTCTCCTCCAGCCCTCTCTCGTCCTCTAGAAGGGCTGCATGATGTGGACAAAATACTAGCATTGAGATTGCAATTGTAATGCACAATGCATATAAAAAATATTTCAACCGGTCATTCCACTGGAGGAATGGAAAGAGGCTCAAATGGAAAGAGGCTCAAAAGCAATTGTCAACCATTAATATCACCTGGTTAAAGGTTCCAGTATGTCGACCTAAATGTTACTTTTGTTAGATTACAAGAATACTTTAATTTGTTAGAGGGCTCTTTTGCACATTACATCATTCCGTCATACTGATATTGTAAATGGCAAATTGTACAGCCCTCTACTATTCCTTCAGCTAGCACGGCCCCTGTTTACTCTCTCACTCTCTCTCTCTCAGGTGAAGCTTCATCCAGTCCACTGTGTACACACTGTTTCAGTCGGCCTGAGGCCAGGGAACAGAATCATTAGTGTCCCCTGCCACAAATCCCAGCAGGGACGCTCCCTCCTCTCTCCTCATACCAGCTAACTCTTGCCCTGCTGAGATTGACGTTTTGACACGTCCCTGAAAAAAAAACATGTGAAGGGGGAGGAGAAAAAGGAAAAAAAAAAAGGACAGGGAGCTGACTGAGCCCTTTCCCTCCTGATGAGGTCTGGCAGGACAGTGCTCTTTGATGATGACACTAATGATAACCAACAGACCAAAGTGAGCCTCAAAGGAAGCCCTGTGTGCACCTTAATGAACAGGACGTAATGACGGCAGTTAGCCTGAGCGCACTGCCCTCTCGTCTGATTGAAGTTTAAGGGTACAGAAGCGGGTTTTGTTGGCTTTAATCAATATTAATGTGAGCTGGAAAGTGGCCAGGCATGTCACGATGTCTTGGGTTCACTAATCAGATGCCCATCTCATACTTCTGAGAGTTGTGGAGGCTCTAGTTAGTGACAGAATTCATGTTCATCTCTGACAAGATGGGTATGCACGCAATAAAAAGGGGTAAATCACTTATACTGTATTATTTGATCAGTACTTAATATGCCTGTGAATTACAATAATTACAGGGGGAATGGGTCCATGATGTACCCTAAAATGTTTCTGCCAACATATTGCTATCACTGCCAAAGAGCCAAGGCAGGCATTATTGAGTTTGGCATGGAGATGGGGAACAGTGGGAAAAACAGGAATGAGTGAACTGTGCTTAGATTTACAGTGTGTCTAATCGCTCCAGTACGCCAACCACCATCTTCTCCCTCACTCCCTCACTCCCTCATACACACTCACTTTTCTTCAACAAGGCTTTTCATTCTGACAGCTGTGTCTCTGAAATAATGGCTGGCATATTTGGCCATATTAAACAATATCACCATAGCTTTGCTAGAAAACGAACTGATTTAGCATGTTAGCTAACAGAATGAGGGAGAACGGTAGAACTCTTCAAATTCTCATGTGCCTACAGTAACACTGAATAATACTGACCCAGAGTTTAAATGCATGTGACACTCTGTAGGCCTTTAACGAGTGAAGTAAAGATAAGTAAAACATCCACTAAAGCCGTTCAATTCCAGAAATTCTGATAGACTCTGATTCAGTTCACCTGCTCGAGACCTTTTACAATTCCCGCAAAATTACTTGGCTCATGCGTGAACAGAAGTCTTGATTACAGACAGTGAAGCTGAATGTTTCTGCAATGCTTTTGTTTCTACAGAGATTTCAGGTTTCTCAAGTGGAAAAAATTCTTTATACATGATTCAGAACTTGTGTGGAAGCAAACCTTCGGACTCTTCATTCTCAAATGCCTGGAATCTCTTTTTGGGATCAACTCCCAGCCCACACGCTAAACCTAACATCAAACATACACTAGCAGTGAGGAGAGCAGACATTATTTTGGCCAAATTCTAGGAAAAGAAGCACTCTTTTGTCTTAAATAAGCTTCCTTAAAGGTTCTGCAAATAAACAGTGTCTGTTTGCAATGTAGCTCCAGTTTTAAACTAAAGCAGCAAAATATGGACATCAAACATGGTCATGCTGGTTGACCATCAAACCAGCATCCAAAACATAACATATGCTGGTTATGCTGGTCTATGTCGTTTTTTGGTTATGCTGGTCTATGTCGTTTTTTTTCTAGCAGGGATGTTGTGGCTGATCGACTACATCTAGGAAAGTTGTCTGCATTTGATTTCTCTAAAAGCCTTTCCTTTAGGCTCATTCCCTTTTAAGCCCTTTATTTGTTTACAATCAACCAACCCCTCTCCTTCCCACCACAATTAAAACCTACTAGAATTGTTGCTAGCTAAATTTCTTCACCTTAGATTACATGCCTTATGCAAAAACTCACACTGGTCAAAAAGTAAGGGTTAAGTTAAAATGTCTTGGAGAGATGCATGTGGAGTTGTCTACTGAAATAAGATACAGAATATAACCTGTGAGACCAGACAACCAAATATGGAAAGGAAAATCTGGCGATGATGCTAGAATGAAAACATGTACTTCAGTGGCATAATACAAAACCACAGAAGGGGGTTATACACATTCCTTTTGTTGTCCCACATCATAACCATGCTTAAGATATATGTGAACAGCTTTGTGCTCTGCTCGATGGCTGTTGATGGGGCAATTAAATCATCAGTTTCTTAAGGACTGTTTTCTTTTTCCCTTCTGCACCACTATAGTTAATGGTCAGTAATGAAGAAGCTTGGACGTGGTACAAGGCAAAGTGCAAAAAAAAAAAAAAATGGACTCACGGTGAAGGCCTTCCAGGCTGGGGTGTTGGCAGGGGATCTAGAGAAGAAAGAAGAGGATTTTTTTTTTTTTAAAGCAGGTCAGGAACAAATCACTCACAGAGCCTCTGAACACATGCTGCCAATGTGGACCACTGGCACAGCAGAGTGGAGAATAACTACACTGACCTCATTTCACAGAGCTCCAAAATATGGCTCTGGATCTCACTGTAAACTTTTCATGAGGTTTCATTGCTGACAGTTTATGACAATGTTCTGGCAAGACTGCAGGAATGGTGTTATGTTTACTGACAGTAAGGTGGTATGAATGATGCATTACCAATGATGCATTACATCATGTATGCAATGAAGAGGGTCAAATCAACAACAGAAGAGGACATTCACAAATCAGCTATGAAGGATTTAAGCATTGAGTTCCAAAAGGTTTTGAATTTACTTAAATGTGTACATCAGATCCATATGAATAAAATATATTACATCAACATACTTATTGTATCTCAGTTTACTTACTTTTGGCAATAATATCATGAACGTAATATTATTCACTATATTCATGCGGAACAGATGTACACATGAATCACATAAACTCAAAGGACTATTTCTTTTTCACTGTGGACATAGATATTTAGGTAGGAGCATAATACAAGTGACACAAAATGGTCATGAATTATCACCACTATTAAAGTAGCAATGCTAGAATTAGCTGAGTATTCCAGTTTTACCAGTTTAAGCAGATTGCTTAAGAAATGTATCCTGGTAGTATTCTTAAATTGGTGACTAAAGCTGTGTTCTACCTATTGTGTGTGCTCCAGATCAGTTTAACCACTATGGAGCCTTACTTGCATATCCTACTCAGCCTCCTGATGGTCTTGGTGCCTGCACAGACTCTAACTAGAACTATTCAATCTTAGAAAATGTCCACTTGCCTCCCACTATAATGAGTTCATTTTTATAAACAGTGGTCACAGGTTTCCGTGGATTTAACTCTCACTTTCCTTGTGATGTGCTTCTAACAGTAGTCACTGGTTTTCATAGATCTATTTCTCATTAGTTAGTCTGATAAACTTAGTCCTCAGTTGTCACTGGTTAATCTAAATACTTCAGTCCAATGACAATAACTCATTCTTTTCTTTATTCCATATTAACTATATGTCAGTTGTCAGTTTCATCCTTTATCCATATTGCTCTTTTTAGGTTGTTGTTTTGTTGACCTGAGGAGGACGGGTTCCCCTTTTGAGTCTTGGTTGCTCTCAAGGTTTCTTCCTCTTCCCTTTAGGGACTGTTTTTGACTTGTTCATTTGGGGCTTGGACCCAGATTTCTGTAAAGCCGCATGGGGGACCACGCTAGTTTTAAAAACGTTGCTATATAAATAAATATGGAATTGAACTGAATATTGCAGATGGCCACAGCTATCAAGAATGTGTCCACTGTATTCTGATTGGTTGTCTGCACATCCATGTGTATGCATGCCTGTGCAGCGGGTTTTATCTGTCAGATGGGACAGTTACTCGCTCTGCAAGCGATGCTGAGTCTTTTGAAGTGAGCTATAGTAGCTGTATTGAAAAACATTTTTGAAGTTCATAGTATCAGGCTGTGCCGTGCGCACGTCCCAGGGTAGAACGTGAGGTGCAGTCTAGCAGCCTTGCTGCAGAACAGGAGGTGTTGGCCAGGAGGCAGGGCTCAAGACTCGCATGCCGTCCACCACTCCCTTACAGTTCTCCTTCTCTCCCTGCCATCCTTGCGGGGTTTCATCCTTGCTCAGGGTTTGGGCCCTGCCTTCCTGCCAGCTCTTGTGGCTGTCATCGGGGCCCGGGGGACGGGCGCACAGCAGACACGTCTTTAAAAGTTTCATCAAAGAGCATTCAGAAGCTAGTAATCTCTTTGTGTTTGCTGGCACAAGCCACTTTGTTTTCTGAAGATGTGTTTTTGCTGTAGCCCGTCTCTGGTTGGTTATTTAGCCAGTCAGAGGCCCTTTCCTGTCAAAGCAAGTGGTTCTTCGCTACCTTAAGTGACAAAATACATTAGACTCTCTGATGGTAGTCAGAAGTCTGGCTTGTGTTACAGTCCCAGGTCCAAGCCTCCAGTGTACCAGCTGTAGTCTCACTAGTAGATTTTACAACAGCATATACAGTAAATGTTCTTCATTCAAATTTTCTGCAAAATATCATGAGAATATTAAACCCAGTATCAAGAATTAAACCGTGTCCTGAGTGTATCATTACAACCCTGCTGATTATAAGGACTTTGTTCTTTTACTACCTAACACTTACCGAACTTCACAAAGAGTATTCCCGTAGTAGACACAGTGCCGTAGCTGTTGGTGGCAACACACTGAAAGTAGCCGGTGTCGGTGGTGTCCAGGTTGCGAATACGTAGCCGTGAGCCATATGCTGTCTGTTTATAAGAGACACGTCGTGCTTCTGTCGCCACTGGAGCATCATTCTTCAGCCAGCGTACCGTGGGCGGGGGGTTTCCTGAAACATAGCAGTGTAACTCAGCCGTCTGGCCCAAGTTGGTGGTGATGTTGTTCATGGGAGCATCCAGTCTGAGGAAGTGGTCTGAAAAGAAAAGAGAAGGAGATGGGTGAGTGAGAGGGAATCGTGTGGAAGAACTGGGAATCAGTTCGGTGGCACATATAATTTTGGTGAATAATAATTTTAGAGCATCTCTGGGGATAACACAAAAAGTCTCATCTCATATAAATCTCACAAAATATCTCATGGCATTGCAGAGGTCTTTGAAAATGCACTGCAATTATCAGACACGTTCTAATTCTCGAAAAACTATTTTACCTTGGGGGAATAATCCTTGGCCATAAATTTACATCAAATTATTTTGCTCTCTGTGTGTGTGTCTGTTCAGGGGGCATACAATCGCTCCCATGTATAACAAATCACTGCTAACTGCCAGTTAGGAATCCTTTACAAGACATTTTGTGGTTTCTGCTGTGGTAGTAAATCATTACTTTGTCTCACCAGGCATGGGCTTCGCCAATAAGGATGGCAGAAACTCTAATGTCATATCTGGAAACTTCTAACTCCAAAAAACTCGTCTTGCCAGGCCTGGGCTGGCTTTGATTGAAGCCCAGTACAAATATGACAACCCCCAATACTCCTTTAATAGTAGGGAAAGTATAATAGGCTTGGGATAGACTCAGTAAGTCTGACCCACAATCAGTCTGGGCAAGGACAAGAGAGGACCTGATGAAGTAACACAGACGGTGGGACCCTCACACAAGCAGCATTTCGATACCATCATAAGAAAGCCTCGTATCTCAGGAATTGTAGCTTTATAGAAGGAAGATTTTTCTTAACTTTGCTTCCATAATTTAACTTAAAAACTCCAATTGTCATGAAATGTTCACACCATGTAAAGCACAGCTGTTACTGTGAAAACCTAAAGCAGCTGAACTGTGAGGTTTCCTTATGACAGTAACTATATAATGCTGCTTTACTCTACATGTAAATCACGTGTATGTGTTTGTGAGGGTGAGGAGAAACAGTATAGGCACTGTCCCAGAAAAAAAAAAGTTGTTCCATAGTCTAATTCTGAACTCTGTGGGGATTCCTGAGACTTCCCGCAGTCATGTGACCTTTTTTGGCAGCCATGCTCAGACAGGCTCTTGCTGCTGGGGTTTCCTGTCTTCTGTGTGGTGCTGGCATCACATCCAACTTCAAGACATTTTATTCCTCTCTCAGCACGAGATTTGAAAGCTACACCCTCAGTGGAATATCATATTCAGATTTTATAATCTTGTCTCTTATTGCGTTCTAGGAGTTCTAGAGTGTCACCATGATGTATCTATCATGTATTGTACACAACACCCAATACAATATACATATATTTCATGATATGGCAACTGCATCACAATGCTTGATGCTCGTACTGTATCTCCACCATGGCAGCAAATGTGATAGTTACTGTCATTCATAGGCTATAAGTAGGCGCTTCATCTACACTGACTCAGAAAGCAGTTGGTATCATTACACTGAAAAATAAAGTAAACAAAGTAAAGTCTTTAGTTGTGAACCTTATTAAAGTCATAGTTAAGCACTGTACATAAGTAAAGTATTATAAAACTGTCTGTTGTTTCTAGCAAAGGCACTGCATGCTTGAAAGCAATACTTGCTATCCAAACTGCAGGCTTATAACCTTCTGGATGTGATCATTCAAGGCTCTTCTGCCAGTTTACATTAACAGCACCATTTATTACGCATTGCACTTTTGTTACTTCCACCAGATTGATGAGCACAAACAGATTTTTTGTTTTGTCTTTTTCCCAGGAGGAAATTTCATGCTGTCTTAATCTAGATTCCAGGACAGGCAGCTAGCGAGTCTCATACAGCCAGAGAAGGTCTCATAATGAGAATGTCTGAACAACCATAAAATATTTGGGGCTAAATGTGGGAATGTAGACTTACTAGTGTGGGAACAAACTAAGTGTGAACATAACCTCTTGCAAGGGGAAAACACTTATATTAGCTTGTGATAGTGTTTCACTAGTTTGTTTGCTTGTGTTATCAATTTTACTCTGGACAACAAAAGAGCACAGACCAGAGGAATTTTTTGGTGGGTTTTATAGGGAGCGTACCCTGTGGTAGTGGTGGATTTTGCCTCAATCCAATACCAAAAGTTAGCAATTTGTCCCCAAATGTCTATTCCTGTTACAAGATCATGTCTGGCCCCATGCGACTAGAAGTAAGTCAGTCAAGGGTAAGTCTGAGTCAAGCTTCAAGTCAGTCAACATGAGACTCAATTGTGACCACTTGATGAGACTGAAGTTTGAGCCACTAACCCGAGTGCCCATATCAGGTTCACAATACTGGTACACAGCTGTGAAAAACAATTATAATTCAATAATTAATCATAGTATCGGCACAGCTCTACTGTATTCTGCATGAACACATTAATGTCAACCTCTGTAAATAACTGTACTGCCTGTGTAACAACATTTTCTTTGAGTCTCTTTTTTTAGCAGAGCTTCATTTTCAGAGGCATCCTCTCAGAAGGAGGGCAGACTCTGGAACAATGTCAGGAATGTGACTTTGACGAGGAAATTAATAAAAGCATATTGAGTGGGAGCCCTTTAGGGTTAGAGGCCCCGGGGCCCACAGCTGTGTGGGGACACACGCAATATTACTCTCTCTGTGGAGGGGACCAGATTCCTCTCACTAGTTTTCCCTTATAAGCTAAACATGAGTTAAACTACACCAGGCAGGATTATTCGCCCAAGCATTCCTACTGTTACAGGGCATCCGCTGGTCTGTTTGAGAAGACTTCACAGATTATATTAACATATAGATGCCACTGTGAGAGTAGATCAGATGGCTCGGAGGGAGGTTCGGTCATTCAAAACTATGCCAGAGTAAAACTACTGTTACTTCAAATAAACACTGACCAAAGTAGCAACTAGACTAGTTACTACTCCTGCTAAAATCAACATGACTAAAAAGAAATTACAGAGGCAAAAGTGCCAAGTTACTTTCACCCAACATTACAGAATCGCAGCGTAACTCAATACAGCATCTATGGATGTCCAAAGTCTTTTACTGCAGTGTAAACAATCATGCTTGAAAGGGAGAGATGAGAAAAATAGCCCAGCAGTGCACAGATAATGCTATAATTAATATTCAGTGCGCTATTTTGAACGTGCTATAATTAAGATATATTGTGCTACAGAGAACATGCCATAAATAATAATTAGTGTGGTTTAGAGAACATGCTATAACTGTTATTCTGTAAGGCTGGGTAATATGGTCAAAAATACATATCTTCATATGCTTCAACATTTTGCCAACGAACAACGTACATATCGCTGTTGTCAGAAGAAAACCTTGTATCTCCGTTTTTGACATAATTTGAAAATGCCTGTTACCCTTTACATTGTATGTAAATTTCATGATGAATGGACCAAATGAAATGGCCCCAAAATGACTTGGAAAAAACTCCACTGACTTATATTAAAAGTAAAGTAGGTTTTTTCTTCTCTTGTAAAGTTATCATTTTGGAGATACAAGGTTTTCTTCCGACAACATATATATATATATATATATATATATATCTCAAGTGGTTTTTCAATCAGAAGAACCATAATGCCTACCACAGTGTCCACATACAATCATTCGTCTATGTCTGTGGTTCTCAGCCTAGGAGTCATGAGATATTACGTGGTAGGCATGCAGGGACGCAGGACGTAGGTGTGTTCAGGGGCTGTAGCACCCCAGGATTTCAAGGATAATTAAATGGCAAGCTAAAAACAATAACAGATAAATAATAAAAGAGCCTAACTCCTAAATATTTTGAGCACAGAAAAGACCCATGTGTGCTTTCTGTAGGGTGGAGTTTGTATTATGTTCATTGTAATTATGCCCCACTAGATGTGTGCATGTAGTTTGAATAAAGTTCGTCCAGCAAGAAAGAGGAAGGTCAGCAACACCTTCTCATGTCCCTGGAGTCTTGTGGTGGTCACTGAGAAAAAGGACCCAAATTGTAGATTTTTTTGTCTGGCAGGTGAGTGAAACACACACACACTGAGTTATAGAAAAAACTTCTCTAACGGGCGCAGTTGAACAGCAGCAGCAGTTAAAATTAATTTTTGACCAATGCAACCTATTCAATATTATTGTTTTTCTCTCAACTGTCACTCAACCGCATAAAATGCACACTATTCACAATATTGCCTAATTTTGTATCTCCAAATAAATTACTGTAAATATACTGCAACTATTCAATACACCACCCAGCCCCAATACTATGCAAGCTATATAAAATACTGTAATTCATATTTGGCATGCTATATAGAACATGATATAATTAATATTTAGAGTGGGATACAGTTGTTCTCAAAACTGTGCAACCAGTTTTTTAGGTAGCTCCACTTCATCGCACAAACCCAACTGGTCTGAGATATACTGCATGGATATACCCCTTCATCTCATATGCCTCCTTTTTCTCCTCACTCCTGATCCAGATGTGTCTGGTCTGGGGGTGACCAAAGGAAGGGATTCTTTCCTTCCCAGGAGGATCTCTCCTCTATCCCTCCATCTTAATCTCCTCTGTCCAAACATCAGCTCTCTTACAACAATATACAAAAGCTGCTGTCCAGAATAATGGATATTAGCACTGAAGTTCAGACACGCATCTGAGTCACTGCCCCAACCGTTTAGAGACACACTTCCAGCGCCCACTAATACAGTCAGAATGTGATGACTTCTCCTGACTGCTTACCAGAAGAGTGACTCATACAAGAGTGTATTCACACACACACACACACACACACACAGACACACACACAAACACCTGTTTGTCCAGCAATCTTCTCTAGATTATTTTGGATATCAGTGCTTATTGCTTGATTTTTTTTTAACTGACCACCCTTGGACAAGACCTAGGGGCCAGGGATAGTGGCCTAGTGCCCCCTTAGTAATTCAAGTTTGAGAACCCTGCCTTAAATTCTAAGGCTACATACGTAGGCCCAAACTTTAGTCCCTCACTCTCATAGATACAGATGAATAAATGAGTATAGAAATATTATAAATGCAAATATTTCCAGAACAGTGTACTACATGTAATACAATTAGGCAGCTAACATCCTACCATGCTATTCTGATGTATTAAAGGATAAAGAGGGCCAGCTAACCTTCCAGCACAGTTCTAGAGATTTGTACAATTAATGCCAAGGCACGCTGAAGCTACTCTGGCAACCTGTGGAGGCCCAGCACCGTACTAAGACAATTTATGTTTGTCAGTCATCTGTACCTAACTTACCTTGTCATTCACTCTTCAAAGGTTTGGACTTTTTTCAACTACATATAAGAAATTTGCTTTCAAAGTGTATAACATTTATTCAGTATACTAGTCCTGTGCAATTTTGAGGATTTTAAATAATTAGTAGTAAGTTAGATGTTAATGTGCCCACAATGAAGAATAAAGATTATTCTAAAACTGGCGGGTGGGGGGGCCAATCAGATTTCAGGGAAGGCCCTGACCACTCCGGCCATCCCTTTAAAACTGTGCCATGTTGTAATATTTATGTTATTTTCCCATATGTCCCTTTACAGTCTTGTGATATGAATCAAAGGCATATAGCAACTATACACACAGTGTAAATCCAACAAGCCTCATACTCAGAGAATAGAGAACCTTATTATATGGTTGTGAATACAATGTTTTTTTCTTGGATACTTATTAGAAGAATTACAGACCTTATTACAGTATACAGCTAAACCAACTGAACACTGAAAAGGTACCTCTTGCATTTAATGGCATCCTTTCACTGTGCACATGTCCATGTTCAGAGGCATCCAACTAATTCAGCATTAAATATGTCAGTTGGTAGCATGTGCACTGTGTTTAAATGATGACCGTGTGCATGCACAGATATGCAGGTGCCATTTAGGAGATATTTGTGCAGCTGTGCACATGCTTCTGAAGCCTGCCGTGTTTGAGCAGCAGGGTTTCTACAGCTCAGTTCCTTTCCCTGCACTGTGTAAGAACCGTGCAGGAACACAGCAAGGATATAAATAAGCACAGGATTCTGGAAGATGTGTCAGTAATACCATGTCAAAGTGACTGATGTCCACAGTCACCATCCATGTCATGGGTTTTATCAGGAACCTTTACTTTTAAAAGGCGTTTTCTACCCTGAGGTCCACTTACAACACTTGTGTGGGTTTATGTACCAACAACACTCAGATTGGAAAGGAAGGGACAAGAAAAATGGATGTAAGTAAAGAAAAGGGTTCAAAGCTCTCTTATGATGACAGATCTACTTAACTGAAATATGTAACCCCAGCGCAATTAAGTCAATAGGATTAAATCCTGGAATTATTTCAAGACCACATTAAATTCATTTAGTTTACTGCAGCTGAAACTAATTTGGGAGTTTAAAAACAGTAAAAGAGGAGAGGAAACAAATGGGCAAGAATAACAGAAAAAGCATGATGGAAAGGGCCTTACATGTGGAGGAGATGGGTTAGAGCCATTTTACATCTGTTGGGTTAACCCTCAGGCGTCTACAGAGTCACTGTAATGGTTTTGCTATCCATTTGATTTGATAAATGTGCATAATTAATTACATTTGTTATGTAATGAACTACATTTATACTCAAACTGCATTCTGTAACAACAGGTTCGAGTCTGCACTTCCCATTTCGTCAGTTCAGTTCAGTTCAGAAATCACCTCTTCTACTTAAGAACAAAGATGTGGTATCAATTGAAGCTTAGAATCTCACGATTTTACTCGTTTCAATGAGCTATGAGTGAGAAACAATTTCATACAAATGTATAAAGATGCATTTAAAGTGTATATAACATGGATACCCAGGAAGGTTAAAGTAATGTTTCGGCGAAAAATCTAATTTAATTTTCCATATACCCCAGATGTCGTTAATCAACCAAGACATGTTTAATGTTTAACTTTTGCTTCAGTAGTTTAGCACTGGAGTTACGAGGCTAATGTTGCCTTAAATACATCCCCAAAACTTTTCTCAACCCACACAAATAGCATCCAGGTCTTGCAGATGTGGTTTAGGACACATGATTTACTATGACTTGCTTTGACTTTTTACAATAAGAACTACAAAAACGAACAAAACTTCACCACGTAGCTAAATGATGACAATACTGTGTCAAATTCCTCTCTTAGAGATTCCTCTTTTATGTAGTTTCTGTTATTAAACATACATCTTCAGTTTTAAAATTCAAGATTAATGTTAATCATTAAAAGAACTGATAGAAACTTGTAACATAATCTATAGCGTCTATATGCCTGCATGCAACAGGCAGCCAAATTTTAGCAGAAGACCTGCTGTTTAACCCCTTACTTGGCCAAAGTATTATTACACTCTTTTATAACCTAAAAACAGCTCAACCAGCTTGCATTGAAGCCCCTGTAGTTACTGAATAATAAGCCTTAGTATGTAATAAGTCTGGAATTTTACAGGGTAAAGTGGCTGCCTACAGCATTCAGCTACACAATGAAGTTGTGTTTGTTTTTATAGTTATACAGTTTATCCAGTTATAGTTTACTTTAAGCCATACTGTGCTCTAAACCACATCGACAAGTCTGGGTGGCCTTAATGAAGAGCTAGATCTGGTCTGAGTGGGTAGAGGTATATTTCAGGAAAGATTTGGGTGACTATTAGTGTTTGTTAGCAACGTTACCCTTGTAGCTCCAGTGCAGCAAAATTTGGATACAAAACATGTCTTGATGATCGACAACATCTGGGGTAAGTGGAAAATTTGTGTAAATATGACTTTTCGCCAAATCGTTTCTTTAATGCTGAGCTGTGAAATGACTATGTACAGATTTTGACTTTAAGAGCAAGGAAAACCCAAACTCACACACACACACTCACATCTAGCAGAATCAAGGTGATGTCAGTCACATAATAAGACGCCTTCACAATTTTGACTCCTAGCTACTGACACACGCTGATACGCTGCAGCTATGAATGGTGTCTCTTTTGGCAATCAAAACCAAACTCAGGCTGCAGACACAACATCCTGCAATCACTGTCCATCTGCCACCTACTGCAGCCTTCAGCTCCACAGCTCACTCCGGCTCTGCTCACACAGACGGCACGGCAAAACTAAAACAAATACAGCACAGCACACATACTCACCTTTCTGTCCTGCCCTGGAAACATTCCAGCTGGAGGCAGTCACTACGCTCGGGTCTGAGGGAGCTTCTGCCCCTATAGGAAGAAAGAGAAGCACTTTATTTTCTACAGAGCATTTTGGATTTGAACATTCTCAAGTTGTTTAAGGTTGTCACTAATGATTCTAATAGAAATTGAGTAATCTACTGAGGATGAGGCAGAATTTCTGAAATTTGGATAGTAAATTGGAATTTTTGGCGTACAAATTAGCTTTAATCTAACATTACACATTCTTATGTTTAAGAACCATAAAATGTCTGAACTCTATTCTCCACCAGCAGTGAAGAACCTGTGTCTTATGTTTTGATCAGAATCTCTGTTATCTCTAATTAAGAAAAAGTAGAAAGACTATTGCAGAAGTATAATGCCATGCAGAAGATCATAAAAACGCAGCTATACTGCATAGTAAAAAAGAAAGTAGCTGAAAGCTCATTTTACACTTTATTCATATCCACTTTAGTCCACTGTATTTCAAGATTATGTCCAAAATATCCCATTGGGCAGTCATTACTGGTTCCGCTAAGTCAAGCAAATTGTGCTTACTTGTTAAGATATCATTATATTACTCATTCAGTGTCTCTGAGGCATTGTGTAGTTTGCAGAGTGAAACTGAAAGTATGGCAAGAACAGGAGTGTTACGAGAATAAACATCTCAAGCAAGCGCAGTGCTTCAAATGACATGGACGTGGCTTTATAAGCACATCTTGAAAAGCCCAGTTAATGTGGAGATCCTTGCCTACTTAATACAGCTTTACGTTGACTGGTGGTGCATATTAATGTCAGTGGTCTTGTGCACCTTCATTAAAAACAATGATCTCGAAAATGAGCGAATGGGTAGTTTTTGAACATTATTAATGTAAATGACCTTACAAATTTGAGTATCAAATTTGACTGAAATGTCCATCCTTATGATTAACAGATTATTTTGACTGGTTGACTGAAGTTTCTTAAAAGGCCAAAGAATAAAAACAGATCATTAACAATAATAAACCATGTATAGCCTTTCAAACATTGTGAAATACTTAACAGGTAAAAAAAACACTAAACCAAGAGACATTTAAAAGACTGTAAGTAGAGCTTTAATAGGGCTGAAATTTTGGATCTGAATCCAAACACAGCCCGAGAATTTTTGCCTGAGCCCAAAGCGACCTGACACATAGCATTGTGTTTTGAGTCTGAACCCAACCCGGACCACATCATCAAGATCTGAATCAGGAACTGACCTGAAAACAACAAAATTGTGTCCAAACCTAACCCGAATTGATCCTTCCATCACAAAATAAAACCTGACAGGACAGTGCCGGATACCATGTACTGAGAATGATAGCTGTCATTAGAGCTAAATAAATAAAATATAAGACAATATATATATAAGACAAAATTTAGTCTGGATAAACTTTCCATACTGCACTGTTGTCACACTGTGTGGCGCTGATATAGCAAGCCTTGACCTGTTGAATCCTAAAACTCTAAAACTCACAAAATACATACTAAATACATAAAAATATGTTTGGCCAAACAATGAATGTTCTTTTGCCTCCACTAAAGTGTACTTTCCTCAATGGATTCACTGTTTATGTCCTGTTTTCAGACAAGCATGGGCCTTGTGGACCTCAGTGTGTGACTCCAGCGTGCCACATGGTAGTGAAAGTAAAGAAGAATAAAGTAAGGAGGGAGAAATGCAGTGTAGAATCTGTTAAAAGTGGGAGGCAGGCTGTGAGAACCTGGACATGAAATGCGAACCTGATACATATTTGAGAAGTGACGTCCAAACCAGAACAAACCTGATGTGAGCAGTCGGGTCCTGGATGGTTCGGCTAAATATTTCAGGCGGAACTGCTTGAGCCGAAAGTCTGCATTATCATCATACAAACTGACAACAAGTCATTGCTAATTAATTGAGAATGTAAATTTTAATCTATTTATTTTCATTTGAGTAATTAAGTTTATGAATAATCGTGACAGCACTAGTTCATTCATGCATTTTAGTGAAAAATACATGTTTATTAGCATTCTCTCCATGTCCAGTGGACAGCAGGTAAAACAGCCTTTAATACCAGAAGATTACAGACTTGTTAGTGTACTGAGGAGATTTCATTACAGCGCAGCAACACAATATCAGCACGTGTTGACAGGCTTGCAGCAAGCGATGCTCTGCGTACAATGGGTTCTTTTGACTCTGAGCAGGGAATATTTCATCCCTTTAGCTACGGAAGACAATAAACACTGTGTGGCTCTCTGCTGGCCGCAGTGACTGGAGTCTGTTCAGAACAGAGGTGCATGGTGTTTAAGGAATGCAAAACATTAGCTCATTTCTATTCTCTGTCAATCAAGCAAATGTAGGCTTGATACTAACAAAATGAACTCTCAGGAAAAAACAACAAATCTGATTTGTGCACATGTGTGCTCCTCTGGTAGCTATAGTAGGTTTAGGTACCTTATGCAAACTGTAGTGGTGTTAATGGATCATGCAGGCTCCCCGCTGCCTGGGCTGAGAGGGAGAATAAATCGGCCCTGTACTGACACATCCAGAACTCTGGCACAGAGGCATTGTAAAAAAGGTTTGTTTTTTTAACTTAAAAAAGTATCCTGGCTGCCTCAAAAAATTGAGTTTATTAAGCACCAAATGATAAGTGAAAAGTAATATAATCTGTGTGTCACATTCTGACAACTTATCAAGTTTAATAAAATCTCAGTATCTCAGTTTTAAGGCAGCCAGTTAATCTAAAGTCAAAACATCAAATTTCATTCTATAGTGCTCCTTTCTCCTTTACACCAAACCCCTCCCACCAAAATCACTAGGCAGTATGCCGTCCATATAGTGTAAAAAGGGGAACAGGGCACAAGCTGCTTTTAAGTGCTGTTGAGGTTTGAATTGATGTAAAATACAGATTTTGTTTCTTTAAACTAAAAGTTTTCATTGTATTGTTTCATTCAAAGTATTTACTTGAATTGAATTAAACCAGTTAAATTGCTTGTTAACCACCAATTTTGGTTGAATTGGCAAACCTTTTTTACAGTGCAGCACAAATATGCATCCAGGTCCAAGTCAGACTGACTCTAATTACCTGTCCTTACCTCATCTGACCAGGGCTATCAAAAACATGTATACTAGGCATTCACAATATGAACAGATACCATACTGCAATTATATTGCGATTACAATTTGCCTTGCACTATATTAAAAACACTAGAACTGTACCTAGTGGTGTACTGGTGGGAAATGCAAATTATGACAAATTCTATGATAATATGTTTTTTTATATGACAGAATCATTAGTCCAGTTTAATGGGATTTACAGTAGCAGAATATACAAAAACAAAATATCATTTTGGGTATTATAAAAAGGTATTGAGACGGTGTAGTTTTGTCATAACGCCCACCCCTTTTTGAAACACTTGATGTACCACTGTTGAAGACAAGCTTATTTACATTTGGGTCATGTGAGCACTTAAACCTCTTAAATGGTCAAGATCCACCAGCAGGCCCAAAGTTTTATTACACACTTCTATAACCTAAGAATAGCTCAGCCAGTTGGTACTGAAGTCCCTGTAGTTGCTGAATAATATGTCTTTGTATGTAATAAGCCTGGGATTTTAAGGGGTTGATGATTTGGAACATCTGACTTACGTCCGCACAGCACACAATGAAAACTTAGTGATATGTAAGAGGATCATCTTGTGACAATAATCAATACTGTGACAATGATTAGTAATTTATAATGTGTGTACATAAACATACATCAATTTTCTGAGTATATTAAAAATAATTTTTATTCAACCTAAAAAAGTCAAACAAAGCGTAATTTTTCCCATGAAGCTGTCTTAGAATGTTTTTAGAGGGTTTATGTACAAAACACAAGCCAACTTTTCAACCTCTCTTTATCACTTAGAATTAAACAGAGCATTTCTATTACTGCACCTTTAAGACTGATGTATGTAATTAAAGTCTGTTGTGATTGGCTACCCTGCAATTTACCTCTCTCACTAGGCAGTATGGGCTGAAACGCTCCTTATAGCTTCTACATAAATGGGTGGAGCTGAACTGCTGTAGGCCAAATAGGCTGTATATATGAGTTGTGTTTATAACATCAAAAACAATAATTTTTAGAGCCATTTTTCATGTTATGAAACTTGTTTTGAAAATGTTTAAATATGACATCAAACTCTTGTATCAGAAAAGTGAGTGAGGAAAACTTGGTTTTCCATGATATGGCCCTTTAAAATTAAACAAAGAAGAAGAAAAAGTTGAATTCAAATCTCACAAACACTTCAAATCAGCCTCTGCCCTGTTTCATTTTTATTGTGCTGTTTATTCTTACATACGCATGTTCTGCCTTGGAATTAATAAAATGTATTGTCCTTGTCTCACACCAAATCCACTGTTTCATTATTACATACATGACAGAAATTCTGCAGATGTGAGAATATACTTTGACCAAATATACAGAACATATGCATAAACACTTTTACAAGAATGTAATGTAACAAAACACTTTAAACATTAAAAGAGCTGGGAAAGGGAAATCCCTGCCAAAGGCCAGTGCCCACACATCTGCAGAGAATTTTTATTGTTCATTTAATTGTTATGCAATAAAAGCATTTCTTTTTCCACCTAATTTAAGGCCATTTGTTCTTATTTCCATCAAACAGCACCTTCCTTTTGTTTTATAAAAGATTAAACAAAACTCCAAGAACTCTCCTCTGTGTTTAGTTTAATATGTAAAGAGTACGCTGGACAGAAAAATGTGTACATACACTCTGAGGTTACACGGGGCAGAGACACAGTGCAGAGAAGGCAGAAGTGTGACTATGTTAACTGGGTGCTAATTTGCCATTAAATACATGTGCGTTTACACACTTGTAATGAGCTGTTAATATACACACCTGTTATTGCCAGTGATGACTCTGAAGAGTGACACACACACATACAGAGAACAGGCTGGGCTGTGGGGAACAGGTGGTGTTCTCTACAGCCAGTGAGGTATGAACCACGTACAAAACTCTTAAATAGAGTCTTTCTATACTATCACATT